TTTATATTTTCTATTGATTATAGAAATATCTAATTCACTTATCTAATTAGTTAATTAAGATTATTAATGACATATTTTTATTTAAATTATACTTAACTAATATATATCTTTCAATAAACGTAAACTAAATTAAGAATATGGAAAATAGAAGTGACTATATGATAGGTATTAGACGATATATATGGGTTTTTGTATTTATCAAAGTGTAATACAGAAATTGAATCATGGGAAAATAATCGTGCTTAGCACGAGCTAAAATGTAGGGATTGTATCTTTGATTCTTTGTGTAAATAATTAGATAGGTTAGAGGTCTATCATGATTTAGAGATAGGGTCTCATCATGATAAGAAGTTCGAATCTTATTCTAATTAGGAAGTTTGGTTAGATTAGGGTTTTGATTTCTCTATATATATTTTTCTATTGTTGGAGAAAAAATTAGGAAGTAAGAGAGTGAGTCAATATTCTTGTAATCTAAGGTTAGCAGAGGACGTAGTCTGATTCAAGAATATTGTGCGAGAAGCGAGGTTTCATTGTCTTTGTCCATCCAAAAGATTGTTACGAGAGAGCTTTGTGAGTTTGAGAGAGAGAGAGAGATGGGAGTTGAGTGCTTTCTCTTGTAGTTCTCTCTGATACATAACAGATTTTCTCATACTGTTGCCCCATTGATGTAGATTGAAGTTGGTCGACCGAACCATATTAAATCTCGGTGTCCTTATTGTTGATTTGTGAGTTAGCTTCCGAGTTGCGGAGATCATAGTAGGCAGGGAGACAACAAAAATGCTAGCTAATATACTAAAACAAGACCCACAAGTGCCACTTGGCGACTTCTTAGAATTCATCAAAGTTTTCATCATTCCACTAGCTTCCTGACTCTACTGTTCATTAATTGTCCTATTCATGAATCACTTCCCATTTTCTCATTCCCCATTAACCATATTTAATTTCTTCACTATAATAAATATCCATTATACATCTACTACTAATTACGCACAACCTCTTAATAAATATCCATTATCCATGATTTTTAGGACCCGTGGATTCCTCAAGTCCACAGTGTACGAATTTAAGTCATGGGTGCCATGAATTAATTTGTATGTAAAATATGCATTGCATGCATGTTTGTGTCCATAGGCTAAGGATATAAGTGGCGAGGCGAGGCGAGGCCATGACCCCCCACCAGCCCACATGAAAATGACCATAGCCCCAAAAATTTTAAGCAAAGCCCACGAGCCGAACAAAGCCCACAAGCCTAGCTGTCAAGTAAAAAAGACTTTGGGCCAAATCTCTTAAGTTTGGATTCAAAATTCAATTGTTCAAATCAAATAACTAATCCAAATCCAATTAGACCATTCGTCCAGAAAAACCATTCGCAGACCCCTCTCTGGGCATTGGTTTTTTCCCCATTTTGTGGGGCTTTTCTCCATTAAATCTAAATTCCAAGTACAACTCAAATCAAATAATCTCTCTTACTAATTTTCCCAAATTCAAGAGTTCCATTTTTTGACCTTTTCTCACAATTTCTAGAGTCTAAAGGTTCAATCTTTACTCCTTCTCATTCTTCTCTTATTTTTGTTATTATGAGTCATGTCCAACAAATGTACATGTGTTTGTAGTCAATGCAAATTCTACGTTTGTGTTTTTATGGGTAGTGTTTTTAACATTTTTCTTTTATCCCAGTATCTATATAACACCCCACCCCCCAAATAATATAAATAAATAAATAATAAACCCTTCCCAACCCCCCCCCCCCAAAAAAAAAAAAAAAGCCTAATCCTGGCTATTCCAGTGATGCATGTGAAATTTGGATATGACTAGTCACCAAAATGAGCTACTAAAAGTGTGGGTGGATATCGGATATGATGTGTCACCAAATTAACTACTACTACAACCAAGAGTAAGAGCTGTTAGATCCACTTGCTTGGATGTGACAAGCAATGTTTGTGTGTATCGAGAGAAAGGAGAGATATTGGATGTTACTTGTAGTGCATGTGTGGATGAGAAACATTGGAACTTCTAAAAATTGTATTACCACACCCTAATCATGTCGAGACACATGATGGCAACATGTTCCATATCATATTCAGAACTGTATATATGCCAAATTCTCATTTTTAATGTTGGATTTTCACATTCCTATTTTCATATTAGGTCCTCAAATCTTCTGTAGATTACCCCCCAAATCTTCATTTTAACACTCCTATTTTCGTATTAGGCCCTCAAATCTTCTGTAGATTACACCCCCCAAATCTTCATTTTAACACTCCTATTTTCGTATTAGGCCCTCAAATCTTCTGTAGATTACACCCCCCAAATCTTCATTTTTGTTTGAAATAAGCGTGTTGTTTATAACAAGTTAATGGATTTGGGGTGTAAATTTCAAAAATGGGAGTGTGCTGTTTAACACCTCAATGGATTTAAGATATAAATTACAAACATGATGATTTGGAAACCAGATATAAAAATATAGAATTAAGGGTCTAATTTCAGAAAACTGGCTCATGCTCTAACCTTCGCCATTTAGCTTATGGACAAATTTTCAAAACAGACCATTTTGGGTTTTTATTTGCAAAAACCGACCGCTTTTGAAAATATTTACAAAAACCGACATGTTTTCAGCCCAGCGCTGAAAACAGGTCGGTTTTTGTTAAAAGTTTTCTGAAACTTCACGGGAGTTCAACTCCCGTGAAGTTTATTGAGAAATTAAACTTCACGGGAGTTGAACTCCCGTGAACTTTAATTTCTTCATAAATCTTCACGGGAGTTCAACTCCCGTGAAGGTTTATGACCATATCAAACTCCACGGGAGTTCAACTCCACGGTGTTGGCATACTTGTATCGAGAACTGGGTAGAATATCCCTGATGCAGAATAAAGAATTCAATGGATGCTGCACATTGATACAGATTTGGTCATGGGAGCGTATTCATATTGGACGCCCTACTTTACTTGTGCACCGTGACCTACAGGAACAGTTTCCTTTGGCGTACAGGTATAATTGTACACACAAATTTTATTCGCACTGAATTTGTACTTATATATTCTCTATTCTGCATATAGGTATAACGTGCGGTACGCTAAGTACCGATCAGCGACGCGCCATCGTGAGTTTTACCGAAATGAGCTTGATGACCTCCAACACGAACAGGTAAATATAAATCTCAAGTCGTTATGAACATTATAGTTTTGTTGTTGATACTGATAAATGTTCTATTTTATTTCAGTTCAGGTGGAGACCCTATACACCACCAGAGCTCGATATTGATTCTCTTGCACCCATCTGCCGAGATAGTCCCGACTTATGGAGAGCCAGAGTTCCATTGATTTGTTGGGAGATCGTGGAAATGCATGTCCCTGACCGTGTGCTACGACAGTTTACGCTCTCTCAGGATGTGTCAGATCCTGTCGAGCAGATCGATCGTCGGCGGTGACCTACTTCGCACCATACCGACTGGGCCGTAGTCCGTGCGACCTACATAGACAGGTGGGCTTACAGGTGGGATTTCATCCAGGATACGAGGCCCACAGCTGTTGACTATATCGCCTATATGCGTTGGTATTGGGGTATCACACGTAGATGGATCACACATGACCCATAGCCATTAGCTGGACACATGCCACGCCCACCGACAGACAGTTACATCCCTAGTGGGATGAACGAGAGAGATTACGTAAGTTTCTAAGCTAAATTATAATATTTTTTTCTTGAGTTAGTACTTAATAAATTGTTTACCTCACATGTCCATGCTTTTGATAGCATTGAGGCTGATATTGATGCGACCGTGCCTGAGATTCAGGATCAGGTGACGTTAGGACTCAGCAAAATCAAGAAGACCATAGCGCAGGTGTTTCATAAGACTCACGTCGACGAGTTCGCAGGCCGTGAGGACAGGTCTCGATCATTTGGGCAGGCGTACACTCGGCGTCGACGGCCACGTGACGATGACGCCAGCACTTCGCATGCCGATAGAGGATGGAACCGGCACTTCTCAGCCTCATACACAGCCGGATACTCAGATAGTCGAGGCTCATCAGCGCGGGGGGCGGGGAAGAGCGAGGGGGAGGGGTAAGAGAGGGAGAGGAAGGAGAGGAGCTATATTGGGTTGTATTTGAACTTATTTTGTTAAAATTTGTAACTTTTTTCAAATATTATACTTTTGTGGATCAATTACAGCTCGATATGTGATCTTTTTGAGTATTGTTTGATTCGTGCGTGTTTAAATCATATATATATTGTAGTAATTGTTGTTAACACGTAAATAGTTGTATATATGAGTTAAATAGGTAGATGTATACAAAATAGGTAGATGTATACAAAACATGCACAGCAGCCTGTGCATGTTGCGTAAAACCTGCAACTTCACGGGAGTTCAACTCCTGTGAAGTTGCAGTCTAAATTTCCCAGAGAGCGATTCTCTGGGAAATTTGGCCTGTAACTCCACGGGAGTTGAACTCCCGTGGAGTTTTAAGCCCTGTAACATACTTCACAGGAGTTCAACTCCCGTGAAGTATTTTTAACAAATTAAACTTCACGGGTGTTGAACTCCCGTGAAGTTTATAACTATGCTAAACTTCACGGGAGTTCGTAAAAATTTTTAGAAAAACCGACCTGGTTTCAGCGACAAAGCTGAAACCAGGTCGGTTTTTCTAAATATGTTGAAAAGGGGTCGTTTTTTACAATTAAATAGTGAATAAGGTTGGTTTTGAAAATTTGTCCTTTAGCTTATTCATAATAAATATAAATATAATCCATTTATAGATGCACAAGTGAGTGATCATATGGTATACAAAGGTATAAAGCCTTCTTATTCTTGTAAGATTTAATTTTGTGCACACAGTCCCAAAGACTTGCTCACAATCTCATATGCATTATGTTTCATTTGGTTTTTCTTTAATTTTTCACCATCCTCAATTACTTGCATAAATAACCCTCTTTATTAATTTATTTTTCCTTATTTATCCTAAAGATACTAATATGAAATCTAACATGAGAAAGGTTCTTACCACAAAACCCGGATATTAAAAAGATCTTGCATTTTGCACAAACACCGCTACCAGCACCAGAAAATCTGCAATTCAATCAAACAAAGGAAATTTCTCATTAATCTTATCTTTTCTAGATCCAAACCAATGCAAAAAAAAAAATGAATCATTTACCTTCATAAAGGGGAATTTTTGTTGTATAAGAGAGCTGGAAATATTGCCAGCCAGTAGAGATGTACATTTATAAACCCAAAAATAAATGTATCAAACAACTTCAAAGAAAAGGATATAAAACACTCTAAAAAAATAGTAATCCTAAACTGCAGATAAAGACACAAACAGAAGGCTCAGATATGCCACATTGCGGCAATGAACAAATGCGCGTGCGCTCTCTTGCTCTCTCTCTCTCTCTCTCTTCATTGAGAAATAAAAGCGGTTTTTGCCTATAAACCGAAAGTTTTACCCGCATTGATCTACATATTCTCATACATCCAAAAATAAAAAGTTCACTTACCTTAAAACCCAAATATAAAATTGGCTGCAAACAGGAGGCCTGAGACAGAACAGCTGACCCAACCTTGCCTCGCCATTTTTATAGCGTTAGGAATCAAAGAATTGATTCAATTGGAGTTCTCTAACAAATTATCATTGCCTCTAATGACTTTTAGGTTCTGTCAAGCTTCTAAAAAGACCAGTTTTTATGTGGTTTTTGCCTATATACCCCAAAATGTATCCAATCCAATCATCAAAGCCAAAAGGCTTTAAGGCAAATCATCATTGCCTCACTATGATAAAGAAAAATAAGAAAATGCAGGAACCATAGTCACCAGCTAGAAACGTGAAAACAAACTGAGCAAGATATGATACATGACAATCATAAAAGAAACAAACTCTTCAAAAAATAGGTATCACACACAATTCGTGCATCCAAATTTTCTTCTGTACCCCCTTTGAAACTGGCCCTGAATATTTGAAGGCTGCAGAGTTTGGTACAAGCTTACTTACCGCATATTAAACCATGTACCAGGATAACAAAACATTATCATCATCATGATCATAATTATCATAACAATCCACGAATCCCAGAAAAAAATATCTGCATAAAGATTGCAAGGAGAAAAAGAAAGACTATAAACTTTTCGTTATTGCAACTATAGTAACAAAAGTGGAAAACAAAACTAGTGAATTGTCTTTGTTAAATTGTTAGATGCTTGCAATTAAAATTGCTATATTACAAATCAAGAAATTGGAAATCACAGAATCGTAAACCCAATTGTAATCGGAAGATCCCAAATAGAAAAATAGAAAGTACCCTAAATTTTCTTAAGCAAAAAAAATGAACATCATAACCTTTAAATAGTCAAAAGGAAAGAAGTCGGTAGAAAGAGAGGTGTGTGTATATGAGAGAGCAGGCAAGAAAATCATACCAAGTTCTGCAACAAATATAGTTGTAAGCATGGATACTAAATAATTATGAAGGCATCGGCACGATGAATTTGTAATAACCAACAAGATCTCACCATATTGCAAGCTAGCTTGCATGGCGAGTTATTTGATGAGATTCAGATGTGCCAGTTTTCACCACATTGCCGTGATGAATATTGTCTCTCTCCTTTTTCTCTAACAAATAACGACTGCAAAGTGGTACCCTGTGTACAACTAGGCAACTCAAACCTTAACCATCATCAAAATCTAAAAGCTTTCGGGCAAATCTTCATTGCCTTTTTATACTAAGAAAAAGAGCAAAATGAACTGAATCCTAAACGATTTAAAGGCATATCATCATTGAATATCATGATTGCCACAGTTTGACTGAGTGGTCTAAGGCGTCATATCTAGACTGGTCCAAAAGGATATGGGTTCAAAAGGGTGTGGGTTCAAATACCACTGCATTCAATAAATGTATTTGTTTCTCTCCTCTGTAACAAAGCAGATGGATAGCTGCAAACAAACAAAATACCAAATCAGAACTTGTTTCCTCCTAAGAATACCAATTTGGTAATTTAGTCGAGAAAATTCAATATTGATACCTTAATGTTGCTGGAGAAACTACAAATACCAAAACGAAAAGTGTGTATTAATAAAAATACCAATTTTGTAATTTAGCCCAAAATGGATGGCTGCAAGCTGGTTGCCTGCATACTAACACGCCTGTTGTGCGCAGCGGAAATTTCGGCAGCACCTCCGGTGCGCAAGGTGCACAACAAGAAATTAGATCACAATGAAATTCTCGTTTCTCAAAGGAAACAAGAACCAAAAGCCAGATATCTCATCAAAGTGAGATATCAGCTCTTCCTCTCGTCAGCTCTAGGACTGCGCGTCGAGGGAACCTACAAGCTATTACAAATCACGGTAAAAAACACAACTTTTACGTGGTTCGGCAAATAGCCTACGTCCACGGGGCAAGGAGGGGGAGATCTACTATTAGAGGAAGAGATACAATTGGGGTTTACAATCTCACAAATAAAACCCTCTCACAAACTCTCAGATCCCTCACACAAATACTCTCTTAAAATCAGCACAAGAGACTGCACAAAACTCTCTTCACGAAGCCCTAAGACTTCTTTTCTTTGCTGCAGTCGCCGCACTATTTTTCTTGTACCCTGCCTCTGCTTTTCACGCCCATAGCGAAAAAGTTCGCAGCCGCCAAAACCTCCTCGCATGCACATCAACGAAAAAAACCTAGGTGGCAATTTTATAGCAGCGGAATGCAGAAATCGGGTGGGCCGGCCTTGGGTTCGCTCTTCACGCGTAAATGCTTCACGTGTGTGGTCGGCTATGCTTTCACGTGGGTGGACCCCACAAGATGCATGGAAAAAACGCGTTCACCTGAAACAACTTTGGTCAACATATCCGCAGGGTTGTCCTTCGTGTGGACCTTCTCCAATATGACGTCTCCTTCATCCAAAACGTCACGAACAAAATAGAATCTGACATCGATATGCTTCGTGCGTGCATGATAAACTTGGTTCTTCGCCAAATAGATAGCTGACATGCTATCACAATATACCCGAAGGGTCTCCTGTGCAATCCCCAAGTTCTCCAATAATCTCTGCAACCACAAAACCTCCTTCACAACTTCAGTCAACGTCATATACTCTGCCTCCGTAGTGGAGAGAGCCACTGTAGACTGAAGTGTGCATCTCCAACATACCGATGCTCCTGCTAGTGTAAACACATATCCGCTAGTAGACCGGCGCTTGTCCAGATCTCCCGCATAATCAGAATCCACGTAACCAATACAATCCTGCCCTGTCTTCTCATTCTTCTGAAATACCAAACCAACATCCACGGTACCTTTGATATACCGTAGAATCCACTTCACGACCTCTCAATGACCCTTCCCGGGGTCGTGCATGTACCTAGATACCATGCTCACGGCCTATGACAAATCTGGCCTTGTACACACCATCGCATACATCAAGCTACCCACAGCATTGGCATATGAAACTTTGGACATGTATTCACGATCCTTAATTGAAACAGGTGATATCTTAGCTGATAGCTTAAAGTGGGGAGCTAATGGAGTACTTACCGCCTTAGCATTGCCATCATAACTGAATTTCTTCAGCATCTTCTGCAAGTAACTTCTCTGTGACAACTTCAACCTCCCCTTCACCCTGTCTCTCTCAATCTCCATACCCAATATCTTCTTTGCAAGCACCATTTCAGAGTTATAAACCCCAAGATAAAGAAAGGGCAAATTGCAGGTAACCCCTTTCAGATATCTGCACAAAGAAAAAGAAAGGAAGATTCACTTAGTGTTGGAGCTATGAAGATTTTTTTTAAGAAGGAATTGTGGCATTAAACTTGTTAGGTAGAACAAAGAAAGAATTGTGAACGCGTTTTTTCCATGCATCTTGTGGGGTCCACCCACGTGAAAGCATAACCGGCCACACACGTGAAGCATTCACGCGTGAAGAGCGAACCCAAGGCCGGCCCACCCGATTTCCGCATTCCGCTGCTATAAAATTGCCACCTAGGTTTTTTTCGTTGATGTGCATGCGAGGAGGTTTTGGCGGCTGCGAACTTTTTCGCTATGGGCGTGAAAAGCAGAGGCAGGGTACAAGAAAAACAGTGCGGCGGCTGCAACAAAGAAAAGAAGTCTTAGGGCTTCGTGAAGAGAGTTTTGTGCAGTCTCTTGTGCTGATTTTAAGAGAGTATTTGTGTGAGGGATCTGAGAGTTTGTGAGAGGGTTTTATTTGTGAGATTGTAAACCCCAATTGTATCTCTCCCTCTAATAGTAGATCTCCCCCTCCTTGCCCCGTGGACGTAGGCTATTTGCCGAACCACGTAAAAGTTGTGTTTTTTACCGTGATTTGTAATAGCTTGTAGGTTCCCTCGACGCGCAGTCCTAGAGCTGACGAGAGGAAGAGCTGATATCTCACTTTGATGAGATATCTGGCTTTTGGTTCTTGTTTCCTTTGAGAAACGAGAATTTCATTGTGATCTAATTTCTTGTTGTGCACCTTGCACACCGGAGGTGCTGCCGAAATTTCCGCTGCGCACAACAAGAATTGGGGCACTAAGTATTATTGTTAATGACATAGTAGAATCTACTATTTCTGATGAAAAGTTTCAGGAAAAATTGCCTTGTGGCTACAGGGAGGAAGATGCATGGGCGCCTGCGTTGTTACCAAAACCTGTTAGTTATGCTCCTGAATGAAAGGCATACTATTGTTTAAAAAAGACAGTCAAAAGCAAAGGTACATGCAATTGATAAATTATTCTTTAAACATAACATTACTTATTATTTAAAATGACATCTGTTACCTTATTGTTAATACTATTTTCTTCTCAATAAAGATCTTATGCAAGTAGTTAGCTACAAAGAATTTTATTACAAATCCTAAATTATCCATCAAACAATCAAAGTGAGAACAACGGACATGAGACATCTTCAATTTGGATAACAATATATTTGTAACATCGGTAAGCATCTTAAAGTTATATGACCACACCCTGATCATGATGTGACAGATGACGGAAGCATGTAGGAATCATACTAACAACTGAGAATACACCGAATTTCAATTTATTATGATGGGGTTTTCTCATATTAGATCCTAAATTCTATCCTATTTTTATACAAGCCACCAAAATCTTCATGTTTTGTAGATTACACCCCCAAGTTTCATATTTGATCAAAATGGACATGTTATCCAAAAAACTTAATGGATTTAGAGGTGTACATTACAGATATGGAGGTGTTATTTAAAACAACTTAAGGCATAACCCGATATAAAAATAGGATAAAATTTAGGGTCTCATATGAGAAAATCCATTTAGTACTTTACTCTTTGCCACTTATCTAACTAATAATAAAAGCATCCATTTACAAATGCACGAATGAGTAATAAAGTTGGCATATATAGGGATATAAAGCTTTTCTTACTCTTATGAAATATTGATTTTGTGCACATACAATCCCACACATAGATTTCTTCACAATTTCATATATATTAAAATTTTCTTCTTTTTTCACCATCTTTCAATCACTCGCATTAATTGTTTTTCCTTTTCTAATTTATTCATCATGGAGATATAGACATCAAAATCTAACATGTGAAAAGTACTTACCACAAACTTCTGAAATTGAAAGGTCCCACCTGCACAAGCATTCCACATATCCCTTTACAAACACCTCAATGTCTGTGATACAATCAAACAGAAATTTCTCATGATCTAATACTTCCCAGATGCAAACCTAATTTTTTTTTAACATAATGTAAATCTACACCTTCATGAAGGGAAAATTTTGGTCATATATAAAATCCCGCGATGTTGGTAGCCAATAAGCGTATATAGTTATATAGTTATAAACCCAAAATAGTTGGATCAAAAGAAAACTGCAACCAAAAGGATGTAGAAACACACTCTTCAAGAAAAATAGGTAACCCTAGGCAGCATGATAAAGATGTAAAAAGGAGACCAGTGTTACCAATGTGCAATGCGGAGTGCGAAGTCCCTTTACGCGCACATGAGCAAGCGCAATGCAATGCTCACGCCCAAGTGAAGCGAGACGTACACCGCACACATAATTTTTGAGGATATACAACCAAACATGAAATAACATGTTTATGAATTTTCACATAAAAACATGTTAAAGATAATATCTACTGCCTAATCACAAAATAAGGTCTTAATTCATAATGATAACACACTCAACATGGCAGTAAAGTTCATCATTTTCCAAATAAAATGTCAAATCAAGACTAATATCAAAGAAAATAATAGTAAATGAGAACGAGTTAGGGTCCTCCAATCAGGCTATTAAATTGGCCTAATTATTTTTCTTTTTGGTACATGGGTTATCAGGTATAAATACCCAATTGAAAGCTTAAATAGAAAAAGATATATGAGGTTATGTCTTGCATACTCTCTGTACAAAGTGCCCTTGCCAGGGCACTTGCAATGTGCAAAAAGGTGTGTTTCACCACCACCCTGCATCGCAAGGCACAATGAGGCAAGCGTCTTTGACAACACTGAAAGAGGCTCAGATATGCCATTCGCCACATTGCAAAAACGGAAAATGCTCTCCCACCTTCTCTTCTCATTAGAAATACGCAATTGGCTGCAAACGGGCTGCTTGAGAATGAACTGCCAATCCAAGCTTGCCTCACCATTTTTGTAGTTATGTATCAAAGGATTGATTCAGTTCTAGTTCTCAGACTAATTATCATCGCCTCTAAATAACTTTTAGGTCCAGTCAAGCTTCTAAAAAGAACAAGTATTTTAGGTTTTTTGCCTATATGCCCACTAAATCTATCCTACCTGATCATCGAAGTGGGAAAGCTATAAGGCAAATCATCATAGCCTCTTTATAATGAGTAAATTTTGGAAAGTCAGGAACCTAGTCACCATCTAGGGACACAAAAGCACACTGAACAAGATAATGATACATTATATGGATAACACAAATAATAAGGTGTTCTTAATTTTTAAATTCAAATGTTTTTTGTAATCTCTCTTAGAAACTGTCCCTAAAGATCCAAAGGTTTTGAATCCAATACAAGCTTACCACATATTAAACCATGCATCCGAGAAGAAAAAACATTATCATCATCATGATCATAATCATCATTACAAGCCATGAATCTTGAAAAGAAAATACATCTTCATAGAGAGTGCAAAGAGGGATGATAGAGACCATGAACTGTGTCTTTATGCGCCGCTATAGTAACAAAACATGGAATAAAAGAACTGGCAATTGCCTTTGTCATATTATTGGATGCTTGCAAATTAAAATTGATACATTGCACAATTCAAGAATTGAAATCATGGGACCATAAATGTAAATTAGAAAATCCCAAATAGAGAAAGGGAAAGTATACTAAAGTTTCTTAAGAAAAAACTGAATCCCGTAACCTTTATATGGTCTACCAAAAAAGTCTTTCTTTCTCTCTCTCTCTCTCTCTCTCTCTCTCTCCAGATAGACAATCCAAATGTTTATTCGAGCATAATGTATTCGAATTATCCATGTTATTTTCATTCAAATTATCAAAATTAGTACTCATCCGAGTTTCTGTGTTTCAAGTATTGAGGTGAGGCACATAAAGATAATCAATAGGTTGGTGATAGGGAAAACAGTGCTTGATGAAATGCAAAGTTGGAATGTTCAGCAATATCATGGGAGATATAAGGAACAAGTTGGAGGTGAAAATGTTATAGCATGTTTGATGTCTACATACACACACATACCCAATATCTTCATCCTCATATATATATATATATATATATATAGATAGAGAGAGAGAGAGTGTGTGTGTGAGCAAGAAAACCATACAAGTTCTGCAACAAATATTGTTGCAAGAATGGATCATAAATAATTATGAACAGGTGTACGACTGGAATTTGTAATACCCAGAAAGAACTCGCTCTGTTGCAAGCCTAACTTGCATGGTTATGTGATGAGATCCAGATATGCTAGATTTCAGCACATTGTTGTGATGAATAATCTCTCTCTTTTCTCTAACAAATAATGGCTGCAAGTAAACAAAGCTTGCCAAGCCATTTATAACCTTAACCATCATCAAGATCCCAAAGCTTTCAAGCATTATAATAAAAGGAACTGAACCCTCAATGATCTTATCATTTTAAGGATATCAGCATTGCACATCATTACTGCAAAAATTTGACCAAGTGGTCTAAGGCAACAGATCTAGGCTCTGGTTTGAAAGGGCGTGAGTTCAAATCCAACTGCTGCCAAGCAAACATATTAACTTCTTTTCAATGGACTTGGAAGTTGGCCTCTGTAACAAAAAAGTATCACGAGTTACAACTTTTGTTCTAGTGGAAACTTCTACATTAAAATTGTAGAATTAATGGATACCTATAACAAAAAAAATGATACAATACCTGTCTCCCTCTCTGTAATAAAACAAATGGCTGCTGCGAGTTGGTTGCCTGCATACTAGCAAGCCATCCAAGCTTGCCTCGACATTTTTATAACCATAGCAATCAAACCATTGATGCTTTTGGTGCAAATCATCATTTCCATTTTTTCCCCTTCTTGTCCATGGATTTCATGGAGTTGCAAGCCCCATACTAAGGATAAATTGCAGGTAACCCCATTCAGATATCTGCACAAAAGAAAGAGAAAACAAAGAATCACCAAGCATCAGAGATCTGAAAATTTTGTCAAGTGAGAAATAATAGCTGGATTAAAATTATTAGTTGAAAGAAAAAGAGAACAGGGGGTGAGGGGGAAGCAGTAACAACTAAACATTTACAGAGTTACATTGCAATTGGCTATTTAAGTCCCTTGCTTGATGTAGGCTGTCTAAAAATCACAATAGATAGCTGATCCCCATCAAACACCGATGATGAAAGTTACAATCTGACGACTTCCAGAAGGCTACAATTTGAAGACTTTCACGTAGATCGATGAAGGTTACAATCTAACGACCTTCACAACAATTGATGGAAGCTCTAATCAAACAGCCTTCATAATCAACATCGGGAGTTACAATCTGACGACTCTCATATATCAGAGAGCTAAAGCAAAGATTACAAAATGACGATCATTGCAACGCTTCGACAGAAAGAGACTACAAATCGACGGTCTCTTCAAATCAAGACGTGGAAGTCCTCCCCGCGTACCAGCATCAAGATGCGCCGCGTTCATAGCCACGAACGCAGCTCAAATGCAGCTCCAAAAGTTGCAAACACAGCTTAAATCGCCACTGGACGCAGCTCAACATCGCTGCACAACGCAGCTCAACATCGCTGCACAACGCAGTTCTATTCGCCGTCCGACGCTGCCCAACGCAGCTCCAAGCGCTGCCCAACGCAGCTCTATACCGCTGCCCAACGCAGCTTTCATCCGCTGCAAACGCAGCTTCCAATCACTGCGTTCAAGCTTCCAGACACTGTGTTTGGACACAGAATTCATGCCAGAATGCAGGATCTGCGTTTGACTCGTTCAAACACGAGTTGAACGGTTTCAAAACCGTTTCCTACGATCTGAGGGGATCACAACTCCACTCAGGAGTGATTTAAGGGGCGGTTACATCCCATTAGCCCCACTTAGGAGCGAATTAAGGAGGTGGTTACACCCCTTAATCCCCTATAAATAACAACAAACTCAACAGAGTTAAGGATCGGATTTTTGATAATCAGATCGAGGAGTTGGATCGGTTGGAGCTTTTGAGATCGGCAACAAGATCTTCTTCATCCTTGGCTTATAACCGACTTTCGGTTAAATCAACTCTTTCATAGAGTTTTAAACTCGTTCAGAGTTCTCCACAACGTCAAATCGTGAGGAGAAGACCACGTTCCAGTGAAACAAGACGTCGGATCGTCAACGAGAAGCAAACTCGACGCGAGCATTCGAGGGAGGCATCTCATCGCCACCGTGAAGAACCCAGAATTAAACAAAGGGGAGAATCCAGATCATTCTCCTCTCTTTTGTAATCAGGAAATCCAATTGTAACTGAGATTAAAGGAATACAAATCAATTTTTCTTTGTTTCTTTTACTGTAAATTTTCCCACAAACAAAAGATGGCGACCCTGCTGGGGAAGAGCTTCTCTGACGAAGAAGTGGTGGCGCAATCCGATGTTCATCTCACTGGAACCACGGTTGAAACTCTCGTCATAGAGTTCGATCAAGCCAAGTATGAGGAAGTCCTCTCCTCCGGATCCCTTAGCCCCAAGGCTATGCGCAAGATCCACAAAGTCTTCAAAGAGACTAAAGATCCAACTGTTGCTCCTATGCCGAAGGAAGACCTCTCCTTTGGGCCAGATTGCTTGGACAGCCCCTCCTCCGATGGAGTGGGCTCAGCTTCAAGGAAGAACGTCGCTCGATGGAGGAGTAGATCCTTACGACGAGCACATCTCCGAGAATGCCGATCCTCAAGTCAACATGAGCTTCGTGTTTGTGAGCCTAAACGCGACCCTATGCCCTGCGTTTCTGTTTCAGAATGCAAGTCTCGCGTCTATGAGCCCAAACATAGGCTCTGTGTGAAGAAGACTGAACGCAACCCTCAGGGGCGCATTCCACAAAATGAACGCAACCCTCAGGGGTGCGTTCCACAAAATAAACGCAACTCTCAAATCTGCGTTTCACCAGCAACACCTGGAGCTCAGGCATGCGTTCGGGTGACGAAATTCAATATGAAACCTGGCCTTCTCCGTGGAGCTTCGGGGCGCTGCCCCGAACCCCGTCGGGGGGTATTCCATCCCCCC